CCAAAAAATACTTCACTCCAAAATCCGCTCACTCGGCTTCCGGCCTATAAATACGAGTATTGCGAGCATGCGAGCTGCTTTTAAACAATCAACGAAACAATCGCGAAGATAAACAAATGCAATTCGCGCACAACTCCGATAAAATACGTAGGACTGGTCCGGCCCGCTCGACAGGTCCCCTCGCGTTACACTGCCGAAACTGTCCCGAGTGATCGCGCGGACCAGTCTATAAAATACGCGGCCCTTCACGAAATACGCGTATTTAGCGCGTTCACACAGGAAATGCGCGTCCAGAGAATCCGTATTTCTCAAGCACGGCCAAATTAAATCGGGTCTGGGAAGCCGCGTATTTCAACAAATACCGGACATCTGTTAATACCGTTTTCTTTGGTCCGCGCATTTTGCCTCTTGTGATGCCTTAATATCCGAAATTTCTTGCCTACGAAATACGAGGTCTCGTGTGAACGAGGCTATATAGTGTTTTAAAACTGATAGAGAAAATGAGCATATCGGTTGGTTAGCGTTGTTAGCGTTAGGTGCAAAATTATTTTCCGACTGTGTACCGGTATGTTGTAATTATCGATTCTATGCGATAATTAATTATCATATGGATTTCAGCTGCGTTGGGTTGAGTTTCGTAAAATTCTGTTTTTTGAACTATTATATTTGCGTTATTTTATTAATGAATTTCGCTGATGTTACTGATTAGTAGCTAATATTAACTAAAGCAATTTATATTATCTACTTTTAATATTATATCAAGAGCCAATTTTCATCACACAATTATTATCGCACGATGGAAATGTGAAAACCATTGCCTATAATCAGGGTTAGAATAAAACGTTTGAAACTATTCGCAAATGGGTTAATAATTTACATGCAAAATCGACTCATGAATAAGCACTTTTTTGAATGGCTGCATGTAGTCCCACGTTTTAGCCAACTAAACAGCATGACCTTTTCAGGCTGCATTTTTTTCATGTGAGTCTAGTCAGTCTACTAAGGTGGTTGGAAAGTTGAAGCAAAATGAATGTGTAAAAGTTCATCTGATCTTCGCATCAGCACTCGATCGACCTCATCCCAGCAGTCGACTGTTTCGGTGAACATTGGTCATCTTTTATATGAAAATGAAGGTATTAGAACAACTGACAAATCAAAAAACTGTTTGGTTGAGCAAAATTGTGATGAATCACAGCACAGCATAGTGGTCTCTCTTGAAAGTATAGCGATTAATTTATGTGTCCTGTCGTGAAACGTGTGCCGTGATACGGATGCGGTGTGTGTCGCGAAGTTGCGAACTACCCTTATTGCCGCACACCTAGTTCAAATGTTACGGCCGTGACATTCCACTTGTCTAGTAATTTTAGCATCTTTTGGGAGCCCTTAAAAATCTTGACTTGACAACCTTGTAAGTCAATATATAGAGCTGGGTATTAGGCCATTTTTTTACTATCAATCACTGGTAAAGTTGTGCAACAGTGGCGTTTACTGTGGCAATTAGCTGGACAACAAATTCAGTTCCTAACTGCTCTACAATAGGGCAGCTTCCGAGTAACAGCACAACTGCCCATAGCGCACAGCGCTCACATCTAGAGCGATCTACTGCGGTCACTCTGTCGTTGGAGTGGTGATTCTAGTAAAGCCGCGCTGGTTACGTCCGGCAACAGATGTGTTCACATCAGCCAGCCCGCAGCGG